AAGCTGCTTCGCATCTGGCCTGAAAGTAGGGAGATACTCCTGAATTATTTGGGTGAATCCCATGTTAACTCCTGAATTATTTGGGTGAATCCCATGTTATCATGTGGGTCCTGACCCGTGGAAGAGGGAGGCAGCAGAGGGAGAACCAGGGAGGTGACCGGCTGGGACAGATGTGACCTGGCTGTGCCAGCTTTTATGAAGGAGAATGGAGCCAAGACAAGGAATGGGGCCGACGTCTGTTAGCAGCAAAGGACAAGGACTTGGATTCTGCCCTGAGCCACCAAGAGGGACGCAGCCCTGCAGATGCCTCATTTTAGTCGTGGGACCCACTGCAGACTTGCAAACTCCAGAACAGAAGACAACGGATTTGCATGGATTTAAGTCTCTGTGTTTGTTATAGGGACTAGGACACAATACCGACCGCTCAGAGTGAAGGCAGGGAAACGCAGGGGCCTGAATGCTGTGCTCTGCCTGGCACTGCGCACGTGGCAAAGGTTTAAGGTTGGACCCCGGCGGGCTGTCACCTGGATGTCCCAGCCCTGTGATTTTCCTGACCTGACAAAACGTCCCCATTCCAGCTGGTGGTTCTTTGCTCTCCCCATGTGCCCAGGCACTCAAGGCTTCCCTGGGTTTCCTTTGCTTAAGTCCCTGCTTCCTTTCAGGGGGGCCGCTTGAAAAGAGGTGCTGTGTGGGTCACGTTTTGCCCACACGGGAGAATGCTTGCAGTGCCTTTTAGTTTCAGAATGTGGGTTTTCTTTCTTCCCGAAGCCAGCCCTTTCTAATGCTGCTCCGTTTGGCCACTCCTCTGTTGGTTTGCTCGTGTCACTTAGATACCAGCACTCCCTGGCCCCAGCCTGCAGGTCTCTTTAACACAACGTGGGAGGAGGTCGGGCCCCCACCGTCCGGGGTGAGTGGGCAGCGCTCAGTACAGCTCTCTCCCAGGGACGGTGCTTCCAGCTCTTGCCTGGTGGCCAGCTCCCAACACCTCCACACTCGCTGCGGGAGCATGCATTAAGAGCGTCTAGCCAGGTTTCAGAACCATCATCGAGAAACAAAATTGCGCTAGTCTAATCCCTCATTTAGGGATATGCTTCCAACAAAACTTTCATGCTGATTTCATCATGTGACAAACCAAGGTTGGGATTTCTGCCCATCAATCCGTTAATTGAGGAAAGAAAGGAAACACCTCTCACCTGAACAGCCTAGATAAGCAGCGTGTTTTCCAGTCGTTTCCTGTGTAATTGCTTTATTGCTGCAGTTTTCCTTGATGGCACGTTTGTGATAATTGACGGCGTAAAATCTTTGGCAGCATTTCCCAGCTGGGTTGGCTGCCTTCTCCTCAGCCTTCCTATAGCTTTTCATGTAATGTTGGCTTTAAACAAAGTCTAAACAAAAGGTTTGGAAATGACCAAATTACAAATACACATTTAACAAATCTAAGTTAAAAGTTAGAATTGTATCAAGTCTGGATGGCTGTAGAAAGCTATAAGTTGTCTTAAAGTTTTGTGTGCAGAAAGACACCTGCAGGCCTTGTCAAAATACAGATTCCTGGGCCTTGCCTCCTATAATGGCTGCTTGTAAGTGTGGTGTGGGGCCTAGGAATTGCCACCAATCCTGGTGCATTGATGCACAATCCCCCTGTGCATTAGGGGAAATAATTCCAGGAAAGATAAGAAAACTACCCACCCTTAGCACATATTTCTTACCTTGAAGCGCACAAACTACTCGATCCACAAGCACAGACAGGGCTGGGCTTTATCAGACATCTGAGTTCTCGGGTCCTTGCCAATTCATAGCCATCGATTATCAGTGGGGGGGAAAAATGTAGATTATTCATATCACGTAGGGAATAGAGGAAGCATCCCAAAACAGAGAGGACATGCTTTGCTGGGCGGTTTCTTTTATACCTGAGGACATGCAAGCTGTGCAGGGAGGAGGTGGCTTTGGACCCTGGAAGAATAAGGAAGCATTAGGACAGGTGTGGATGGGGGTTCAGTGACGTGATATTTAGGCGAGGAGATCCAAGGGGTCATGGTTCTGCCTTCCTCACCACCTGTCTTCCTGAGACAATGACCAGTGTGAAATGAGAAGTAAACTCCATCACTAACTGGTGCTCTGGTGTTGGTACTTGACCTCCCTGGGCAGACCTGTCTGCAAAGCTGGAGTGAAGAGAATGGTCAGGTTCAATGTCCACACACAGGATGTCTGCCCCCGCGCACCTGCCCAGCCACCAGCAGAGCCTGCCTTAAAATTCTAAGAGCTCTTGAGTACCACGTTCCAGAATGACCACGTGTCCCACTCTGACGGGACCATCTCGGTTTACGGGTGCTATTCTGGCTAAATGGGAATAGCTTCTACAACGTATCCTAGTGTGGATGATAGATATGCAGTTACCACACCAAGCACCCGTGTGAAAATAGTAAACCGGTCTCATCCTGAGAACTCCGTGAACATGGACTCAGGAGGTCAGGTTGGAAGGACTCTCATGAACATTACGACCTATGGATGGATGATTACCCAGCATGCTCCAGTCCAGGTCCCAGTCAGCATCCTCGGGGCAGACCAATTAGCCAAGCATCCCCTCTTTTGGGGAAGGAACAAAATGGTGATAGGGAAGCGTCTCTTTCCAATTGTTAGTCATCATCAATGTGACACGAGTCCCAGAGGTGCCTGACATGCCCGTAGGATGGCAGCTTTCTTAGGAACTGTGGGTACCTAGCATTTCCTTCCTTCTCCATAGCAATGGCCTCAGATGCGCTGAACTCCAAAATCACTGTTTTATCAGCGTCTCTGCTGTCGTTGCCTTACTGTCCATGGCGATAGGATGATAACCATTGGAGGGCTCCGGGATGCACATGAGAGGTGGTGTGTCTCAGAAGGTTCCAAGCCACTGGGATTTTCTCCCACGGCCATTACAGCCTTCAACTCCATGCTGCAGTTAAAGGTTGGTACCTCTGATGTGCCCTGAAAGTCTAGGTAAAGGGCGCTGTTGGTTTTTGTTTCCAGTTCTAACCCTGGCCCCTTTCCCAAGAATTCATAGTTGGAGTTCATGGTGACGAGCCCCACAAGTCTGAGTGACAGGGTTCCTTGTCTGAGGAATACTGACCCTAGTTTATTAACCAGCTCATGGGGAACTCTTCCTCAGGAAACTTTCTGTTCCTGACGCACGGCTGCCTCTGCAGGCTTTGCTTTCCTGTGATTGGCAACATTGCTGATCACGTCCGATTTCTAGGGTGAGGTCATTTAAAAGTGAGCTTTGGTTCCTACGGCTTCTCCTCAAACTGGATTTTTTTGCTTTGAAACCTACGTGACAAGAGGCAGAAATGACTTAGGAGATGCCTACATGCCTCGAATAGCATCACGCCTGGCTTCCCTCATTTACCCAAAATTGCAGAATTAGGGTATAGACAGCATTTTACCCCTGCTCAGATAACAATCTTCCATGGGTCTGAGGAAGTCATGTCACTGTTTGCTCAGGAAAAGCTGGTGTCAATATCTGTCTTCGGTGCCTCCACCATCCAGCCCTGAGGTAGCTGGGATTTCTGGGAGCCTCCCCTCCACTACACAGATTTTTTTTTTTTGAGAGGGAGGAAGTCATGATAAGAAATTATTAACAGTCTGACACTTGTTCAGGAGACCCTTCCCCACCCCTTATGTTAATTAGAAGAGGGAGGGACATTTTAATGCAGCCTCCTTCCTGTCCTTCCTAGGATAACAGCAATCATAGTAGTGTGTCCTCTGCATATCACAGAGCAAATGCGAACAGCAGAGCCTCTGGCCTAGTGGCCACGTCCCTTCTGAGAACCATGAAGATGGCGCGGGGACTGCCCGTTCATGTAGGTGACTCATGATGCTGCACCAGTGTTTTGTAGTCTCAGCCACCCTACCTGTAAGTTCTTGGATGTTTTTCTTCAGCTCATACTTTGTCTCCGCCCAGGGGTGAGCAACAGAGAATGTGCAGGTGGAGCCACACGTTGGCTGTGATGTGCCCCTGGTCACACCCAGGAAACACCCATGCTCCTCTGGGCACCTGCGTGAAGACCCCAACCTTTCAGCCCTTGGAACTATTGGGTTGTCGGAAAAATCGTGATGTATTTTTTCTGTTTTTCATTGCAAAAATGCGTCATAACTTTTCCGACAACCCAATATTTGCAAATATACTTGGGAAAGACCAAAACTATGTATGAACTCGCACGTTTCTTTGAGCACATATGACGTGCCAGGCATTATGCTCGGTGGTGGGGACTCGCTAATGGCCGGGCCAGACTCCATCCCCGTGATGTTCACTGGTGTGAAGCAGAGTAATGAGGGGTAGGGGCGTGCGAACTGGGAGGTGGGGTGGGACTTGCAGCCCGGCACTTTCCCAGTTTCACGACCTGGGGTTCAGGTGTTTTCTGGAGCCGCTCCAGCACCGGATACAGCGGGAGACTCAGGTGTACGTGGAGTGGGCCCCCCTGAGCAGCTCTCACCTCTAGCAGTCCTCGCTGAGTTAATATTCTGACCCGACAAAGAAGAAGTTGGCCTAAGAAGCAGGCAAGCTCTAGAGGAACTTTCAAGGCAGAATTTTTTCATCTGGAATTTTCTTGATGAATTTGCTGTGTGGGATGGTTCCAATTTAAGTGGGAAAAACATAAATTCTGAATCAGCACTAGTTTTTTGTTTTTTTTTCCACGTTGCCAATTTGGTAGGCAATAAAAAGAACTAATTTTTCAAATGTAAGTTATGTTTACTTTTACTAGTTAAATTGAAAACATTTTAATATTTGTATTATAAGCTTTTGTGCCATGAAATTTTCAGAGTGTGTGTGTATGTGTGAGGAGTGCTGCTTTGCTCATTTTATTATTGAGATATTGCTTTCCTGATTTATTGAAGCCCTTAACAATATCAACTCTATATGTTTCCTATGTGTTGCAAATATATTTTTCTTAATCTGTTGTTGGTTTTAAATATTTTATTATGTCCTTTTATGTACAGCAATTTAATAGTTTTATTTTATCATTCTACGTACATTTTTCTTTATGACTTCTCCCCATGGTATTAGTCTTAAAGAGGCATTTCCCATCCTGTGGTTAAAATGACTTATTTCCCTCACAGTGCTTTTAAAATTTTATTGGTAATATTTTAAACTTGAAATTACATTAGTCAATACTTGGATTAAGTACCAAACTTTTCTCAAATAATTTACCAGTTTCCCTAGTATTATTTATTGATAAATCCATCCTATTCCTCAGAGTTGAAGTCACCATCTACCATAGAAAATAATTTAAAAAAACGAATACACAGACACACACATGCACACACTTTGAGGTGGTTCTGTGCTTCTAATTTTGTCCCAGTGTTTTATCTCTATTTTGAAGCAAGTCTCAGAGGCTTGTAGACTCTCATGCGGTTACTATGTGTGGATGCCTTTAAAATTGTTTCACCGTTATTTGCTGACTGTGTGTTTATAGCATGGTTTTATTCAAAACACGGGGTGGTCGAGAAGACTATGCATACCTCTGTAGGTAGGGTTGACAGTCTGCTGACTAAGTTAATGGCAGGGACATTGGGAAAGGGGGTTGTTTGAGAGACATCTCCGAGTGAGAACTAGGAGATGGTGGTAACTGGCACATGTTGGGAGAGAGAAGGTGGAGCACAGGAGGAGTCTGAGGTTTGACCTGGTGACTAGTTCTGACATTGATCAAGTTAGAGAACTGGTCGCCAGGAGGGAGCTGAAACCATGGACTGGGCAGCCTTCCATTTTGCCAGAACATCAAGGTACATAAATTAGCAACAGTCCATGTTTCCCTAACGCCCCTCAGCTGTCAGTTTCTGGAATTATCATCATTATTAAAGTCATAATGGTTTTAATGAAGGTGTCATCCAAACTGACACTTTGAAAATAAAGTGTGATGATGACTAAATCGGAGGCTTGGCATGACCTTAGAAAAATGCTCCAGGAAACTTGAGAGCATCCCAATTACTTAAGGATCTCTGAGTCAGCCAGATGACTCATTCCATTCATTAGCTGAGCCTTAGAAAGATGTATTTGGATTGACAGCAGTCAGAGCTCAGGGCTCCCAGATGGCCCCACTTAGGCTACCACTCTGCTCTCTAGAGGAAACAGACCAAAACGCCCATAAATCCACCTATGAGTACTTTTCAACCAGTTAGACAAACAGCATATACCGACACCAGCAAACTGTAAGTATGGCTTGATTTACCTGATTGAAAATGGATTCAAACTAATTGCTCCCCACGAGTCATAGTAAGTGAACCGAGCTAGTGGTGTGTCTGGCAACATCCCAGGCACTTTCCGATTCTCCTGCTTCTGCCAATGTTTGTAGAGACTAAACATTTATCAAGACAGTTGCCTTCTAGGTTCAAATATGCAAAATTGCAACCAGATTTCTAAGCCGGTTTCCTGCAAAACGCACCCTTACCTGATCATGTTTTCCTGTGTGAGGGCCACACTGAGTGCTGCTACAGGAGGCACAGAAAGGCCTCGTGCACTTGGGGTGGAAACACTAAAGCCACCTTGATTGTTTCCTCCTGCACATTTGGGCATTTGAAGCTGACTATTTGGGTCCTCTCACTTCTTAGGTTTCAGGAAATGGGGTCGCCAGCCTCCTGGCCCAGGTGAGAGAGGACGAGAACACCTGATTCGGGCAACATGGACAGAGAAGTCGAGTGATTGGAGACAGAATCAGAAGCCATAGCCAATAAGGCGTGTGCATGGATTCGATGTGGAAGGTGAGAGAGACCCCTGGGAGGCAGGACTGCCCTGTAGACTCGGGGTGGG